TGCTTAAACTGTATTTTTTTTTCCCTGGCTGATAAAAACGATGAGAGAATTTATGGGGCAATATGATACCCATTATACATAGAGAGTAGATGGATAGCCCCAGTAGGCTCATGTAAACCACAAAATAGCATAGTTAGGAAATATTAGTAGTTTTATTGTAGAGAGCTGTGTTGCTTGGTTTAATCACTCTGTATTTAATGGTGTTAAAAACACTGCAATGGAATATCTATATCAATTACTACTTTTTTTTACCACTTTGAACATGACCTGCACATCCCATGAAATCATACCCTCTGGGTAGGTAAGTAGAACTTGCAAATGCTTATTATCTCTGTAATTCTGAACCTCGAACCAAGGTTTGCACTTTCTAATGGGTCCAGATATTTTGTAATGTGTAATACATTAAAGCAGACCTAACCTCATAATGCTGGTTTGTGTTCAACAAGGGGACTTTAATGTGGCTATTAGAGAATGGGTAGGGGTGCTGAAATGTGAGAACTCCTAATAATTGTTTTTAATTAAGCATATTCCTTGGATTTAGCAACTGTCCACCATGAGCACAAACATCAGCAGCATTATTTCTTTTTTACAGGCCTGGTTGGTTTAAGGGCTGCAGGATCCCATGGTATTATAAGAGGCTTTCATAATCCGAGCTACAGAGCAATGTCAATGTGGCTTTTGGTCTTGTGACTCAGATTCGGATCGCCATGGGACCTGTTTAACATAGCTTACCCTCCCTTTTGGTCATTTAATGTAATAGGTGGCCTCACTGACCAATAGTTACATGAAAAGTCCAGATTTGCACATATTTTGTACTGTCTAAATGTGTGGATGTAATCATTGTTTTGTCATGTAGTTTTCACTAAGGTTGCCTAAGAACATTTTTATTTTTCTTTTATCAGATACTTTCCCAATGACAATGATTGTCTTGCTGTGGTGCTGTTTCAATGGTTTGAAGCCTGCTTGTAGGCTAACATTTTAATATCTTTGTGTAACCCAGTTATGTGTTTATTTAAATACTAAAAAAAAGAGGTTTTGAATAGTATAGTAAATAGTTTTACATCTGTCTGTTTGGTAGAAGTAATGGTATTGTACGAGAATCAGGAAATCTGAAAGTATATCAGTGAATGACTAAATGAACAGTTTACAGTTTGGTAGAGAGGAGAAAGATCACTGAACCAGTGGACTGCTGATCATTCACTATCCGACTGCCATGTTGACTAACTTGAATGGTTTAACTGCAGTAGAAAAAAGAAATGGTCAGGACCTTGCTTTAGGAAAAATCGATTTTTTGGATTACACATTGTCTTGGCAGATAATGCAGTTGTCATCCGTGAATTTCAGCTGTTTATTTAGCCATTTATTGACACGCTTTCAGAGGTTTGCTTCATTGATCTGAGACAAGTATGTAGGCAATACCTAGTACACACAATGAGAAAATTGGACAAAAAAAATGCTTTCGGAGCGATCGTTTGATAATCTGATTCTTAGTACACAGGTTTTGAGAGCCAATCACAACAGTCTATGCAAAATTATCCAAAGGGACAAGCATGAAAATTTTTCTCGTACCCTAACAGAACGAGCAATTTTCGTTTTAACAAGTACAGAATTTGTATGCAAAAATCGAGTAACCAAGACCACACATGCATAGAAATAAAAGAATACATTACAATACAATTCATTACATCACGTCCAAAGTTGTATTCTGTCTTACGAGAATTTTCATAACTTTAGTAACCTCTTAAGTTTCGATACGAGACTATCATGCAAAGAAACAAACGACTATTCGTCCAATATTATCATCGTGGCTTTAGAAAGGTCCTGATCCAGTAGTATATGTTACAAACCACAATACTAGACAATATGATTCCTTTTACGTGAACAGCAATTATAGTTTTCAGCTAATTTTCAACATTGCAGATTGTTCTCTGCTAATGATTGTTTGGAAGAAATCTTATAACCACAAACAGTTCTAACATAAGGGAGGAATATAGCCTGAAAGACTTCCACTGTTGTTCAGACAACAAAAGATAATTAAATAATTTGCCAAAAAATTGTACAAAAATAAAACACTGTAAATATGATTATGTTGCTTTGTCAATTATGACCTGTGGAATATTTGTTAAAAGTTCTTTGAGTTGTTAGTGAACCAAATATTCCCCAAAAATTGGCCTGCGTATAAAAATGACAGACATCCGCTGAACATCTGTGCATATATTTGACACTTATCATTTATCTACAGAATTGTACAGTAGTTTTTGTGACCACCTTGCCAGAGGTAAGCTATAATAGTCATGCATATGTTCAATTCTGACAGGTAGACATGTTTAGGTCTTAATAGCTTCTATGTGTATTACACATGTAGTCACCAGCACTCATTCAATCCAATTTATAGTCTTTAAATTGTATCAACATCACAAACGAAACTAAGCCAAGTAGTGCCTTATCATCAAGGCAATCAGTGACTTTACCTTGATGATGAGACCCGTCTCCTGACTGATACCTTTTAACAATGGGATCCCTCTGCTTTGGAAGCTCTCTGTGGACCATGGCTTTTGCTGTAGGATGTGACTAAGAAAATGTCAGGAAAGACCTACTACAACAGCTAAACTTTATTTGGGGTTAATCAAATGATGACAGGTGTGTAATGACTCCTATTTAACATGATTTTGAATGTGATTGCTTAATTTTGAATACAGCTTCATCCCCAGCTATAAAAGGGTGAGCACACTTATGCAACCACATTATTTTAGTTTTTTATGTTTATTCCCCCCATAAAAGATTTCAGCTTGTTTTTCTATTGAGTTGTACAGTTTATAGGTCACAGTAAAGGTGGAAAAAGTTCTGAAATGATTTATCTTTGTCTCATTTTTTTACATCACAGTAATCTGACAATTTAACAGGGGTGTGTAGACTTTTTATATTCACTGTATGTTTTAGGATAGGTATATTTTATTAAATAAATAAAAAAGTAATCCCAGCAATGACCCTTTCCTGATTTCATGTATGCCGGGTGACACATTTGAATGGAATATAATACAATTTAGTGTGAATAACCTACAATGTTGTACCTAAAGCAGATTACCCCCATGACTAAGCTCTGAGGGGTCGGAGCAAAATGCGTGGGGGAGTGGCCTTGCAGGAGCCCAGGCTGAGACTGCCATTTACTTCTATACTAGAAGGTCTGCATTGATGTGCAGCAAATGGGATACACCTTTAGTTGTACCTAAAGCAGACTTTCACTTCAAAAATGGACCTTGCAATCCTCCCCTCTCCACTAAATAAAAAAGCTGATATATTTGGGTTGTAGTCTTACTCTTGTTATTACTTTTTTATTCCAACCTGCCCTGCCCCATCTCTATGATATGCCCCTGCTCCTACAGCCTCCAGGGTTATCCCTATTACAATTTCTAGGAAGCTGCAGGAGCAGGGACACACAGCAGGGCAAATCTGGCAGCGCTCTATCTGGGGCTGGCTGCAAGAACACAGTAGAGAAAGCCAGCTTCAGATGACATGAGAAGGATAAGATGGGAGCTCAGGGTCCAGCGTGCGGTAGTGGATTGCAGCAGGACAATGCTGAAGTTGCTGGGCATGAATATGGTTTTTTGAAGATAACCCTGCAAAAAGTCAAGAGAGGATAAAACTCTACTTTACAGCAGTCAAAAATATTTTGCTTGTAATTCTAATAAAATCAAAAGATGAACAGCTACATGCCTATCCGCTATCAGCACTATCAGCAAAGATGTTCAATAAATTACAGCAAGTGAAATGTCATGTCCTGAGTTCACTGCAGTAATTTGAATTCCTATTGGTTGCCACACATTGCTTTCCTTTCATCATTATCTAGCTTTTCAAGTAAGCTTGCTGTTGTATGTAGACCTATATTATGACCTGCTTTATGACATCGCACACATGACAGCACTTTGATGAATACTTGGGATTTTTGGGAATATCTGCCGTCATAGCCTTAACCATATCTGAAACAAAATGAAATATATGAATAAAAATAGTGACACCAAACTTGTAGATATATTGTCTTTCCTTTTTAAAATAGTGGACCATTCTTTTAGCATTTAAGTTCAAACAGATCAGATCAAGGTGATGTGCAAAAATAAATCACTCTATTCACAGTGCAGTGGTTCAGGTCCTGAAAGATGGTTGCAATGCAGTCTGTCAGAGTCAATTTGTGAGTGGCCAAACAATATGATTCACTTCAATGAAGCAGAAATGGATTGGTTTGTTGTGATATCCATACTTAGGTCTACATTTGGGAATTCTCTCTATAAGCTTCTCAGCTGATTACTCCTCAACTGAAAGTTGATACACCACTGACGCATATATTCACAGCCTTGCTGGTCTGATTTAACCAGATAAAAAAATACCTAGGAAGGCCTTTTCTTAAGTTTGCATGTCTTTCACAACGGTGGCATTCACAAACACAGGGCTATAATACTATGCTTAGTATACTAGTCTTTACCCAGACCTAGCACATTGAGTGAGTTAAGCCTAGAACAGGTAGCAGAAGCACGAAAATGCTGGGGAAGGTATTGTCCCGGGAATGGATTTGTGGGTTTTGGAAGGAGGACTTTGTCAAGTTAAAGCTTCTTCTGGAGCACCCAAAGCCTAGCTTGCAAGTTGTACATGTGGTCAACTCTATATTATGAACAGCAAGATTTCAGAAGCTAGAGCAATGTATATATTAATTGTAATGGTGGTAGACAGCTAAAATGTGGAAAAGACGATTGCTATAGTATTGTAATTTTTTTTTGTAACAAAATAGCTTTCTCTCACTATCATCTTTTAACCACCTCCCGCCTGCCATTTAGTAATATGACAGACACAAGGTGGTTCTCGCGTTCCGGGAGGACGTCATATGACGTCCTCCCATTCTCACCGCGCATGCGCGGCTCAGGGAGCATGCAGCGTGGCGATCGGCGGTGCGCTGTGTCCCTCGGACACAGCGGATCACCAATCACGGAAAGAGCCGAAGATGTCGGCTCAGTCATGTGATCAGCTGTGTCCAATCACAGCTGATCACATGTAAACAGGGAAATGCCGGTTATCGGCATTTCTCTCCTCTCGAGCTGACAGCTGGAGAGGAGAGCCGGTAATCGGCTTTCCGTGGAGGGGACATGTACACTGATCATCAGGGCACTGATGATGCCCTGATAATCAGTGTAGCCCCAGCAGTGCCACCTGTCAGTGTCCATCAGTGCCCTTGTCAGTGCTCATCAGTGCCTGGTGTCAGTGCCACATCAGTGCCACATATCAGTGCCTACCAGTGCACATCAATGCCACATATCAGTGCCCATCTGAGCTGCCTTTCAATGTCACCCATCTGTGCCAGTCAGTGCCACCTATCACTGCTGCCAATCAGTGCCACCTATCAGTGCCGCCTAACAGTGCCAGTCAGTGCCGCCTATCAGTGCCAGTCAGTGCCATCTATCAGTGCCAGTCAGTGTTGCCTAGCAGTGCCATATATCAGTGCCATGTATCACTGCTGCCTTTCAGTGCCCATCAGTGATGCCTGTCAATGCCCATCAGTGCCACCTACCAGTGCCTCCTCATCAGTGCCCATCAGTGCCACCTATCAGTGTCCATCAGTGCAGCCTATCAGTGCCCATCACTGCAGCTTCATTAACGCATATCAGTGACGGAGAAAAATCACTTATTTACAAAATTTTATAACAAAAACTAAGAAAAAACTTTTTTTTTTCAACATTTTCTGTTGTTTTTGGTTTGTTTAAGAAAAAATAAATAACCCAGAGGTGATTAAATACCACCAAAATAAAGCTCTATCTGTCACAAAAAAATTATAAAAATTTCAGCTTGATGCTTTCTAGTTATGCTACTAGATCTTAAAACGTTTTGCTCCAATATAGAAACTCAATTCTGCTGAATGATGATTTTATTGCCTTTTAAATTTGGAAACCTGCCCAGATGGCACAGAAATATGGCACTGCTGGTAACCCATGGTGAATTTATGCTGATACATTGAGACAGGAGATCTGCCAATATGTGAGATACTACTATTGAAAACATTAATTGTAGCTAATATAAATTGAATGCCAGAACATTCTGTGCAAGAACAACTTTAGTCACATGTTAAACTGAACATTTTTTTATATATATAACAGGTACATTTGCTTTCAAATAATATTGCTAAGATACTTGAGAAAGCTATTCTAAATAGCCTAGTAGCTTTTATATCCAAGGGATTTTGTTACTCTACTCTGCTTTTTGCTTTACTTTAAATTGTTTCCAGATGAGCCAGGTACAATTTGCAAATATTAAATAAAGATATAGAATCTTACCCCAGCACAGCTGCTTCCTCTAATGAGAGTGCTATCTTGACCCAGCGACTGATGGTGTTCTTAAACTAGGTGAAGAAAACATCATTATATGTATGCAAATGTGATGGAAATGAGTAGTTCAGGATTTTCTTACCCCCAAACAGCAATACAGAAAATAAATCATATTTTTGTATTTTTCACTCTGCTGCAATACATTTTCATGTCTTTTGTAAATCAACGGATGGCTAGTTTCAATATGGACATTCCATATTTAGGTGTTCCCACCTGTCTAAAGAGGAATTCTGGCCCACACAAAATGGTTTCTAATAGCACAGTTGTTTTTCCCAATGTGCACAAATGAACATTAAATCCATTTTTTATGGATTTGATGTCAAAGTGAGACATGCAGATACTGTCAGTTTTAAGAATGCTCTGTAGTGTTTAAGACGGGGTAGATATGTAATTAACTAACCTAATTGTACACTTGGAGTTGGTTTACAAAGGGCAGATAGGCTATTCACTTTGCAAGGGAATTTTCTATTAGCTTAGTTAATGTGGTTAAAATTAAGAAATTAAAGAAAATTCAATCACATGCAAGGGCAATTTTGAGCTTCACCTCATTGACTAAGCTAAGGGAAAATTCCCTTGCAAAGCAAACTGCCTATTTATCTTAAGTAAATCGAATCTTCAAAATGCTAGTTTTAAGAGCCTATGATGCATGGATAGTACTGGTTTTTATTAAGTGGCTGCTACTTAATACTTTTTAATTAACTGATTGTGGATTGCTAGTCACAGACAGGGTTTCCACTGTTCAGTAGCGATTGCTGAATAAGGTCTATTTGTTTATAATTTGTTTTTGTCATTGTGTAATGTACTTTAGGAGCAGTAACATAAGCTGTCAGGATACCATGTGCTGGTATTCTGCAGATCTAGTGTAACCATATATGTAGAAACTACACAGAGGATACCAGACTCAAGTCTATATGAAGAAGTACCATTTATTATACCCAACTGACATAAAAGAAATATAAAGCAACCTATACCCAACCCAGTAATTAGGCGTGAAATATAGAAAACAAAATAACTCTTTACAGACAGAGGGAAAGGGGAGTGAAGTAAACAGGGGTGGGCGGGTTTACAGAGTAAGGTCTGTTTCATACTGCTGCTCTGTAGTTTTACCACAGCGCGGGTGTACCTGCAGTTCTCATGTGGGTTACCCATGGTTACCTATAGACTTTTTGTTATGTGCCGCATTTTTTCTGAAAATGCACCAAAGGTCCTGCATGCTGCTTAGTTTTGAGCGAGAGAGGAGGCCGTTTGCAGGCTGTTGGTTCTCATCCATTCAATGAGACACACAATCCCTAGTCAGTGCAGCAGCGCTGCTTCATAGGATTTACATGTGGATCCCATCTCATTACATTTGAGTGTGATTTTAACTTTTCTTATAATAAAGTTATTCAGCAGTAAAGCACTATTTTTCTCTCAGTTTATTTGAGCCTGGATACAAATATTAGTCCCAGTCATTGGGGTGTTGTGATCTGCTTGAACTGGCTGGGCTAATCTGTGAGCTAATTTGCTGAAGACACCTGTGCGAGAAGCTCCAGAATTGATATCTTGTCTGCATTCATTCCATCCACCATTGCCCGACTGGGGATTTATTTTCTGAAAGTGTGTGTATATTTAATCTTTGTGATGAGGGTCATACTTTAAGGTGAGAGAATACCCAAAAGGGAATAAAGGTGGTGGCCTTTTCTGCAGAAACATATTCTCTTACAGATTGGATTGGTTCATGGATTTTCACTGTTTTGTTGAGCACTATTATCTGCAGGGCTTTATGTTATGTTATTCACATTTATACATCGTTGTATTTGGTGGTGTATACTTTAACCACTTGCCCTCCAGAAGATTTACCCCCCTTCATGACCAGGCCATTTTTTGCTGTTCGGCACTGCACTATTTCAACTGGAATTTGTGCGGTCGTAGAATGCTGTACCCAAACAAAAATTTATGTCCTTTTTTCACACAAATATAGCTTTCTTTTGTTGGTATTTGATCACCTCTGCAGTTTTTACTTTTTGCCCTATAAACAAAAAAAGACTGACAATTTAAAAAAAAAAAAAAAAAAAAAACAATATTTTTCACTTTTGGTTGCAAAAAATATCCAATAAACTCAGGTAGTCATAAATTTAGGCTAAAATGTATTCTACATGTCTTTGGTAAAAAATCCCAATAAGTGTATATTGATTGGTTTGTGTGAAAGTTATAGCGTCTACAAACTATGGTATATATATTGGAATTTATGTAGCTTTTACTTTCTGACTGCTTATCACATTTCTTGAGGTGCTAAAATGCAAGGGCAGTACACCCCCCCCCCCCCAAATGACCACATTTTGGAAAGTAGACACCCAAAGGATTTTGCAGAGAGCCATGTTGAGTCCCTGGAACATTTTATTTTTTTGCCACTATTTTTTTTTTTTTTACACAAAGTTGTCACTTTAATGATATATTGCACATGCATGCCATGAGTATATGTGGAATAACACCCCAAAACACATTCTTCTACTTCTCCCGAGTATGAGGATACTACATGTGAGAGACTTTTTGGCAGCCTAGCTACATACAGGCCCCCAAAATCCAATGACCACCTCCAGGCTTTCAAAGGGCATATTTCCTCATATCACTTCCCCACTACCTATCACCATTTCGGAGGCTCTAAAATGCTGGGATAGTACAAACACCACCTCAAATGACCCGTTTGGAAAGTAGATACCCCAAGGAATTTGATAAGAGGCATGGTGAGTATTTTACAGATATCATTTTTGCCACAGGGTTTTGAAAAGAAAAAAAAAAAAAAAAAAAAAAATTTTGTTTTCTTTCTTCGTTTTCCAAAAACATATGGCAACAAATGAGATTTGCAAAATACTCACCATGCCTCTTAGCAAATACCTTGGAGTGTCTGCTCTCCAAAAAGGGGTCATTTGGAGGGGTTGCTTCAACTATCCTAGCATTTCAGGGCCAACATTAGAAGCTTATGCCACAGATCACCCACTCTTGAAGACCAAGCCTTTTCTGACACTTTTTGTTCACATGAAAAAAATGTTTTTTTGCTAGAAAATTACTTTGAACCCCCAAGCATTATATATTTTTTTAAAGCAGAGGCCCTATAGAATAAAATGGTGGGTGTTGAAATTTTTTACGTCACACAGTATTTGCGCAGCGATTTTTCAAATGCACTTTTTAGAATTTTAATGCACAAAAACACAATATATTGTTCAATTGGTTGATAAAATATAAAAGATGATGTTACAGTGAAAAAATAGATACCAAACATGATATGCTTTAAAATTGTGCATGCCCGTGCAATGGCAACAAAGTACATACATTTTTATTATCGATAAGTGATGCTTTAAAAGCCTTTACAGGTCACCAACTTATATTTAGACAGGAGGTCTAGTGCTAGAATTAATGTCCTTAATCTAACCTTTCGCAGCGATACCTCACATACATGGTGCAACCGCTGTTTACATACCGACACTGGGTCAATGCTTGTGCACACAGGGGCAGGGGGGGCGAGGGTGATTTTTTTTTTTTTTTTGTTATTTTGATTTTTGTAATTATTATAGCACTGTCCCTTTCTTTTTTTTATCACTTTTATTGCTATCACAGGGAATGTAAATATCCCCTCTGACTGCAATAGGCATTAACAGATATTCTTTGTTGATAAATCTGGGGTCTATTAGACTCTAGATAAATCCTCTGCCCTTACATCATCTGATCTCACCAAAATCGGTGTGATCAGATGCTTTCCCAATTTACAAATGGCGCTGTTTATATCCTGTGAAACTGAAGTGATGAAATGCTCGTAGCTTCCGATTTCTTAGACTATAGAGATGATTGGAGCCATCCTGGTCTCTGATCAGCTGTATGGTCAGCCAGTGGACCTGCCGGCAGCATTCTCAGATTCCCCCGTGGGACAGGAGAGCCCAAGGAAACCGTGGAAGGCGGCAGAAGGGGGATGTCCCTTCCTGCTGCTTGTAAAAACAATTCAT